TAAAGCCCTCGCACCAACAGAGCAACAAAAAGAAGATAAAAGATCTGAGATTCGAATTAGAACATAAATCTCAAAAGCAAGTCAAATCATCACAAGATTCACACACACATACACACATTTCACAGTACCTACACATGCATTCATATATATGAAAACAGATCAAAACATGCCAGATATTACACGGAATACAAGATCAAGATCAATTAAGAACTACTGATTCATAGAGAAACGCATGTATTGTATCACATTTATCTAGTACAGATAAAAAGACAAAAAGGGATTTAGAAATAATAACAAAGAATCACAATCATTCGATCAACGTTAATAGAATACAAAAGAGAGATTTGAAGAGAACCAGAAAGATCAGAGCATGGATCAAAAAAGAAATGATTAACAGGAGAGAACTATAAATATATAGGGAGAGAGAAACAAGAGAGACACCTGAAGCGTAGCACAACGCTAGGGTACAGCGATCTTCAATTCTCTCCGGTTGTATCTGGTGGCAGTAACGTTAGGTAACCAATATGTGTGTCACACGTGTCTTATATATATTTTTTTCAAAAAAAATAAAGCTAATTTTAGGGTGTCACACGTGTCTTATATTAGAAAAAAAAAAAAATCAGACCTATTTATTATTATTATTTTTAAATATATTTTTCTAGGCAGTTAAGTATATTCCAAGAATTTCACGCTAAAAATGGGAGAGGATCAATGACGTGTCTCGATCCACGTCCTCTCCGATACAATATTTATGCGTTTGTTCTCTAGTGCACATCTAATGGACGAAAGTGCGAAACTGATTTTACTTTCATTTTTTTTAGGTGGTGGTTTTTTTTTTTTTTTTGAAAGGTATTTTTGTTTGTTGTTTCTAGTTGGTTTGTGATGGTAATAAAAAATAATAATAAATAAATAAATAAATAAATTCTTGCAAAATTATTTGATTTGTAAATTTGTAGCAGTTCCACGTTATAACATTCTTATAACATTCTTAGGTAATTTTGATAGTTATTCCAACATTGAATTTGGATGAAAATTGAAATGAGTATAAGTGGATAGGTATGTAACATTACCCAATAATTTAAGCTTTTTAATAAATGGATAAGTGTCTACCTGTTTATACTCATTTCACGCTAAGCACTGGGCTTGGAGGCGTCCAGGTGGGCACACCTTGGTAGGGTGGCCCAACCGCAACGAGGAGATGTAAAGTGAAACGAATATAAATAGGCGGGTATGTAGTACAACTCAATAACGCCTGCTTGGCTAGGTTTACTGTAGCCTGAAAACGGGTTTCTAAGCCTAAAAACGGGTTTCTAAGCCTAAAAAGTCATTTGCCAATAATAAAGAGTATTTGGTAAAATTTCTGAAAACGGATTTTTAAAAAGGTTTGGTGGTTTAAAAACCCGATTAACCAAAGCCAAGAAAACATGATTTCTGATATACTTTTCGCAAGCTACACACTTTTATAAGTAATAAATATAAAACTCCTATATTGTCCATTATTTAACCTATTTCTGAATTTTATTCCAAACTTTTATTTTCTCTTTCTGTATCATCTTCTTCGTTGGTTCTCTACCTAACAAATAAAAAATAATAATATTAATATTGAGCAAATTTTTTTTTTTTTTTTTGGTTCCTAATTGGTACTCACACATACTTGTCTCTTTTGAGACTTGAAATCCTGACCTCCCTTTGGGAAGTAAGAGATTGATAGCGTTAGGCCACTGCCAATTGGTATATTGAGCAAAATTTTATAGAACTTTATTGAAAATATATTGTTGGAAAACGATTCAATAAAGGAAGAACAAAAAGATTGAGGAGTTGTAAGAAAAACTTCTATTGACTCTTATTTGGCTTCAAAGTCTAAAGAGTTCCAAGATTTATGAACTCTCATCCCGTTCCGCTGTGAAAGTGATTTATAATTATAAATAAGAATAAAAATAAGGTATTTTTTTGTCTCTCTTTCGTTTTATTTTTCTTTCCTTTTCTTTTTCCATCTCTTTCAACTTCTATCACGTAATCAAGGAAAAAAAACTTCTACATGTAGATTGGGTAAATTTGTATACCTGAATCTTCACTTTGCCAATTAATCGTTACTGCATCATCGGCAATTTCACTCCACTTTAATTATGATTTTTTTTTTCTTCCCTTGTACATCCCAATTCAACTCGATCTTTGCTATTATTAATGATTTATTAAGGATATAATTATCAACTTAAATTATGTTAATAGTTAAAAAAAATTCAAAAAATTTACCCACCAAATAACTTTTTTGTTTTAAATTCCTTTCATCAATAAATTTTAGAAACTAAAAGCTTCCCAAAACAGGGCCTTAAGCTTTTGGATATTTGGATAAATAGGCAAATTCTCACCTGTTACAACTATCACTCAGTATAGTATTGGTAATGTGAACTTCGCAGTTTAACTACCAAAATTCAAGCAATTAGGTGGCGCTAATACTCACCTCATACATACCCAATCAATTTCCCATCTCATTCCGATGTGGGATAAGACTCAATATTCTTTTCCATCCGAACTTACAATATCTGGGTACTCTCCCATTCGAACTCATAATACCCTTGTGACGGTCGGATCACCCTTCCTGCCCATGTTGGAGTTGGATCAAAGATTAAATTTGATTTTGATACCAACTGAAACAAGCCGAATACTCGCAATTTGACCTCAAAACTCAACACTCACCCCTCTAACATTCGTCACATTTGACGAGCCTATAAGTATAGCGAGGGGTCCAACATGTGGCAAGTCCCACACCAGTGGCTACGGCTCACTTCACTACAGCCAGACACGACTTGTCATAAATCATTGTAAATCATCCACACCGAATGCTTTTAGTGCAAGTTTTCAATGTTTTAGTTTGAAGGAGTTTCCAACACTCTTGGTTCGAGTGCCAACACCCTAGAGTTCAAAGTAATTTTTTTGTTTTTTGGTTTGGAAAGTTAAAAAGCAAACACACTTAACACAAGCAAACACACTTAACACCCCTGTAATTTTTTCAGGGTGCATTATCCATACAAAACGTCCTTAGTAGATTTCTAAATCTCAACTTGCCTTTTTATAGAAGAAAATTAATAACATTAGATCAGAGACCCTTGGATTCCAAGTTCGAAGTTGCAACGCCTTTTATTCAGGTTTCACCCTTTCACCATCTTAGTTCTAAATTAGAACACTTTTAGCCTGCGTAATGCTTTGAAGTCAGGAGGGTCTTGGATGATAATAATTTATTTATTATTAATTTTTTGGGAGTTACTCAATATCTAGATAATAAAAAATAATAATAAAAAAAAACTCCCAATCGTTATCTAATAGATAATATTGAACAATTCGTAGTGTAAAAGACCTTTTTGACATAGTCATAAGAGTAAACCGATCTCGTGTATAACTAGGTTCTAACTGGTCCACATACATATCAATTCAAATCTCTGACTATATCAAAACCTTTATGATTTTATATTTTTTAAGAATGAATATCTAACTAACAATAAATAAAGAAACAAATATCTGAAACTGGGTACTTGCTCCCAAGTTTGAATTTCCAACTAACCAACCATTAAGAACAACAATATGAAATTGGGTACTTGTCCCCGAAGTATAATTTGGCGTTTTCAATCAATCATCAATGTCCCTATCACACTCTACAACCCTATCATTTACTCTCCCCGTTCAAGAATAATTCGATTTTGATTTTTTTTTTTTTTTTTTCTTTAAAGGCAGCTATCATTAATTTTTACCAACGAGTGTTAAAATAAAGTAAATCTTGTTATAATGACGACTCCGAAAGCACCAATAAACTCTAACCCAAATAGTATATCTTGTTATAACAATGAACCCAAAATCATCAATAAACCATAGTCTAGATGGCATAAGACCCCCTCTTTGACCCTATCATTTACTCTCCCCGTTCAAGAATAATTTGATTTTTTTTTTTTTTTTGGCAGCTATCATTGATTTTTACCAACGAGTGTTAAAATAAAATAAATCTTGTTATAATAATGACTCCGTAAGCCCCAATGAACTCTAGCCCAAATGGTATATCTTGACCCAAATGGTATATCTTGTTATAACAATGAAATCATCAATGAACTATAGCCTAGATGGTATAAGACCTCCTCCTTGGCAAAACAATACGAAGTGTTTGGACTGTTTTAAAGAATAGATATTTTCCTTGTGACATGTAGGCAATCACATCAAATTCTATATGTATATATAAATGGAAAATGCCATTATTTTTTTTTAAACATTGAACAGTTGAAACTTAGGTATATTGTTAAACTAAGAGAGCAAAAAAACACCTTCAACATAGCAATCGTATCCAAAGATTACCAAGCTTGGTGTGATTAAATTTATTGCTCACGAGCTAAGCAAGTAATCATTTCTGTATACGTACCCAATACTTTTTGTGTTGACAGACTTTCTTAAAACTTGTTTGGATAGCTCTTGTTCTAACAAATAAAATAAGAGACACAAAGTTAACCAACTATTACGCTTAATACACTCCAGTTCATAGCATTCTAGCATGAATGCTACACTCGACTGGCTTGCTACCTAGCATTTTATAAAGAGAAAAACATATCAACGGCTGTCTACCATTTGATGGAAGAGTGGCATCCTACCATTCAATGAAGTTGAAATTGTGGCTCCCTACCATTGACGACAAACCATCACAAATCCATGGATTCACAAGATCAAATATTTGAATTAACACCAACGGGCCAGTGGCCTAGCGGTATCAGCCTCTTACTTCCAAAAGGGAGGTCAGAGGTTCAAGTTTTAGAAGAGACGTGTGTGTGCGTACCAACTAGGAAAAAAAATATTCGAATTAACAAAGGCGGGTTAATGAACTGGGGTGGGATTACTCTGGCAGTCGGAGCTCAAAAGCCATACCCCTTCAGGCGGATCATGTGAGTACTCTAGCCCTAGATAGCCGTGATTAAACCCTAGTCCAGTACAACAAATGATGTTATATCTAAAAAAACCTTATGGGGTTGCGAAAGGAAATGGATCATCATTACTCTACTCAATTTTGTAAATCAACATACAATATTTCCCAACGTGTGAACAATCTTTCACTAAACCAGAAATTCTCACGCTTCTTTTTGCAACCTCAATAGAGAAACAATGAAAGAGAGAAATGAAGTTCGCATTGATCAACACTGGCCTCAGGTTCATCATGTTGTCAAAGCATTAAAAAGTTACACGGGCTTGGACATTAGATTTGAAGATCGCTACTTTACCTTCTTTTGGAGGCTAGTTGTTCTGAACTCGGCATCATCCTTGATGAAACTCCACCAAATGTAGGTAAGGGGGATAGTTGTGGCATGCCAAAGAGCATGGGCATCCACAAATCCTAGATATGGAGGGAAATCATAAATCTCTAGGAGCATTGCAAGTCCACCTCCCACAACCACCAGCCACAATTTCCAGCGAGATGGGTGGCGAGTGACACCAGCCCAGATTGACCAAATGAGAAGTTGAGCAACACCCATGACAACACACACTTTCATGTTCCACCCTGTCAAAATTTTAAAAATTCATATTGTCATAATAAATACAAGAAAACTAACAATTATAAATAATAATAATAAAAAAAAGTGCGGTAACTTTGATGCATCTCTACAATGACTCTTTCTCAAAAAAATTCCAGCAGAAAGTGAAGAGATAGGCAGCCGCTAGAACACCAGAATTTGACCCTACCCAGATCCTCAAAGAAAAATGTTTTATCAACACAAGAAACACATAAACATGTTGTGACACAAAATTGATGAAGCCAGGTTCAAGCCTAAAGTTCAGTCCGGAAGAAAATCTGACAAATCAGCAGTGTGTTATACAGAGAGAACAGGGAAAGATGAACAGCTCTGACGAAATTCTGGATAAATAAACATTTTCTAGAAGTACTAAATAAATTTAGGATCTGTCTGGTTCAATTCTCTAAAAAGAAATTCAAAAACTCTGAAAATGGTTTGTGCATCTCACGTTAGATAGAGAGAAAAATAGAAGATGATGATGATACCATAATCTAGTTGATAATTGTTGAGGTACAATATATGTGTGGTTACAAAAGCAAGCAGCGGAGCAGAAACCATGACTCTGGTAGCTTCCTCCCTCACGTTGAAACATCTTAGTACTGCTATAATGAGAGAGTACCCAAGTATCGCCACTGCAGATGAGTAGTCTAGCTTTTCCGTCAAATCCACATCTCTGCCGTTCAGAAAGACAACCAAAACCAATTTACCAAAAAAAAAAAAAAAAAAAAAAAGACAGTCGAAACCAAATACTTACGCTAAATCATTATACCAGAAATGGAAAATTGTGCACTGAACAAACGTGTAAGATTCTGTAGTATATTAACATATTTTGAACTATTTCAAGACAAGCTCAATTGTACTGGAAAATACAAATTTATATGGCTTGCTAATGCCAATTTGCAAACAGGCGTAAGTTCTAGAACAAGGCTGTATGACTTGCTCTGATTCAACAATGTCCCTTCATTCTTTTACTTTGTTTTTCAGTTAAACAAGATATTTCCAAGCTATAAAATTAAATAAATATGAAATCAGTGTTGCTCCCACTCATGCAGGGAGCCGGGTAAAAGAAAAATACATGACAGATTAAACATACAAAAACATGTCATAAGAATATACAAAGTAACACTAAAAAACCCTTCTGTTTTTTGGCAAGAGAAAAAGAGCTAAACAAAGAGGAAAAAGAAAACTTAAGTCCATAATCCTTTTGAAATGCAGAAGCTACTGTCATTGTTATATGCACTCTCCTATTCCCATCAACACACTTGGTTTGGCATGAGAAATGACATGGCCCATGGGTATAAGTATAAGATATGTGTCAAATACATGAACTCAAATCAGAAACTTGCAAGCCAGTTATATTTATGTTTAAAAAGCACGAAAAAAGAAACTCTACCTTGCCTCCACATCCAATTCATGGACCAACAGGGAAAAGGAAACAAGGAAAAAGCTTACCTACTGTGGAATACAGCACTCCAGAACCATGAGTTCATTGATAAGAGCCCATAGATGTGCCACAAACTGGTATAGTCATAGTATGGCTTCTTGTACGGTTTTAGAGGCAGCTTGTAGTTCAGAAGGATGAAAAAGGACAGCCATCCATGGAAATGCATTGCGAGGTTGAGTGCAGAGAAAGCTACAGAAGCGGGCTCCTGAGTAGATTATAAAACATTACCCAAGGTGTACACTCAAAATGTGTAAACCAAAAAATTAACAATACCAATTTTCAACTACAAAAGAAGGTGGTACTGAGTTATAGAGCTTGTAACAATGTCGAACCTGAATACCGTATACACGCTTAAAGGGCCATTTACCATGATATTTGACGGGCCCATGACCAACTGCTGCTTTTTCTTTCTCTCTGTTAACCATGCAATAGTAACGACAATCACTTTGGCAATCCCATTGCTTCCACTGCAAATAAAGAGGTTCTTGCATGTACCAAGGACCATTTGGGGAGGCACCATCTAATGAAAAATTGCAGTGTGGAAAGCATCTTTCCCCAACACATCCAGTCTTTTCACATTGTTCTACACAAGACCTAAATCCACAGGAAATCACACTTTTTTCTAAACCATACAGGCAAACAAAATATAACATCATTTATTTATTTATTCATTTATTTTTCTGGGTTAGGGTAATAAAAGGGGCAGATCTTATGAGACGTAAATAAAAAAATATCTAAACAGTTCAGCTCCTACTCAAGGACACTTGTCGTATCAACAAGTCCAGCTGTCCAAATTTCCAGTATTTTTAAATTTTTTAAAATTTCAGTTATCGAGTAATCTAAAGGGTTTAGGCCTAGCATAATGTGGACCAAGGAGGCTAGATTAGTTCTTAAGACATTGATGAGACAAGTATGATCATTTCAGTTATGAAACCACCTAAACTCTTTAAGTTTTGGAGGATCTCATGGGCAGTGTAAGGAAGCATACGTGAGGATGGCCCTACAATAATAATAGTAATAAATAAATAAAAAAATAAAAAGAATAACGCCAGAACTACAAATTAGCATAAACAAGTTCTAAATCATGGAGCTCAGCAAGTTGAATTTAATAATGAGTGCATCAAATAAGATAAAAATAAGGAAGAAACTAATGCTGTTTGAATGTGGAGAAGAATGGAGGAAAGGAAGACAGGGGAGAGCAAAGGGAAAAGAGGGAAGAGAACCCCTTGTTTGGTATAGGGGAAAGGCCAAGGGAAATGGAGGAGGTCTCTCTCTGGGTCCACCAAAAAGTTTCTACCCAAAAGTGGGCGGATACAAGGAGAGAAGCATCCTCCCTCTCTTTACTTATTAACCCTTTTTACAAAGAGCTTTCTTTTATTATTATTATTATAATAGAGTATAATTTTTGAAATTCACAATACCCTTCCTTCCTCCTTCATTTCCTTTCTTCTCAACCAAAAATCATTGTGGAAAGGCTAATTTCTTTCCCATGGATACCATCCATTGCTCCGACACCTTTCCTTCCAATTTCATATTCTCCAAACCAAAGAAAGTATAAAGTGTTACCTATAAAGTGGATCAGCATCGCCAGCACTAGCATCAAATACTCCAACAAGACATGAAAACACCACAAAGAAAGCAATCCAACAGCGATCTACCATCTGATCAGAAAATCAATTACAAATCAGAAGTTATCAAAGACTAGTGATGTCATTTTTTTTTTTTAAGGAATATATCTTGATCTCATGATGCCTGGCTTTCATCCACTGCCACAGGCGTATCATCTTAATTCATGCATGGTTCTTTATAAAGATAATTACTCAACTAAACAAAGTAACAAGCACTTTGAAACGGTCAAGGAGATAATGATATTAGTTATCAATTGAACTAAAATCTGTAATTTCAACGAGTGTGCTTAGCCAATGTGAATAATAAACTGGATTAACTCTATGCGCATGCCTAGTACACAAGTAACAATGTGCATCATACTATAAACAACAGCTCACCGTTCTCAACATATATGCAACATTTTAAAGATATAACGTGCTTAAGTAAAAAACCCCAAGGAAGAATTTCTATAAGCCGCATAATATTTAAAAGAAGGAAATTCTAAAAGTCCATCCTAACAGTGGTATTATATGAATATTAGATAATCATGAATTAAATGCCTAACATAATAGCAAATTCTAGGATGAGAGTGAACAAATTGAAAAGTGAGCAAGCATTTTAACAGTGGTATAAGTGTATAACCAACGGGCCAGTGGCCTGGCGGTATCGGCCTCTTACTTCCCAAAAAGAGGTCAGGGGTTCAAATCTCAGAAGAGACGTGTGTGTGAGTACCAACTAGGAAAAAAAACAGTGGTATGATGTGAAATTTAGATCATCACTAATTGAATGCTCAACATCATAGCAAAATTTTATGCTCAAGGGTGAACAAATTGAAAAATGAAAAAGATTTTGAAGGAGGACATTGTTCCTGAATTTTAGCCTAACTAATGTCATTCTAAAATTGTCTAGAAAATAAGCTTAAATCTTCCACAACACTGCAGGTAAATAAAAAGAGCGATTACCCCATGGGATCAGTCTTTAACACACAAGGTAACACCCATTCCGTGAATCTAGTATAGTCAACCATCAAAATTATCCAATGACTCTTTTTACAAATAAAAGAGGCATTCGTATTTTTAAAGCAGGAGATGCTCGTTCTTGGGAACCTGGTTGTCTGCAGGGGAAATTATGATGCACTCCGTATTATAGTCCTTTGATCATGGTGGACACTACTATACAAATACAATGAAAAGGCTTAATTCACATGGGACCTGCGAAAGAATGAAATGGGTGCATATATATTGTTCAGTTGTTGGATTTTATTAGGAATCTTTTCCAAGAACACTATTGTATTTTCTTATTTCTTGAGATTTTTAGAGACTTAAGAAGGGAATTTAGGTTTTAAATTACAATCATGTCGGATAGAGTTAATTATATAAGGTAATTATGTACTAATACAATTTGTAGGGCTTACAAATAGGCCATTTGGGGAGGAAATGAGTTAGACATCTAGATGGAACAATATTAGATGGGTAATTTTTGAAGGAAAAAAAAAAAAAATCAACATGGTGTATTGTCCACTACAAGGTTGATGAAATTCTAATGAGAGTCAGGTTACATCAATTTGACTATGAAACCTTCTAAAGGGTTCCAAGTCCACACGAATTTTCCTAGAAACCTCATCTGTTGGTCAATTAGCAGCCTATATAGAATCTCAAACAAAACCATCTTCAAGCAGTAAGTCAATTTTAAGGATGCCAATGAATAAGACCCCACAGGATATTTTCTTAACATTGCCTCCTTCCTATTGGCACTGTATAAAGATTCAAAAAATTAAAAACACCAACCTCCATCCTCAACCATATATCACTCTGTAAGGATGACCTCAACAAGCTAGGCAACTTATTTCAAACAACATTAGATACTTCTTACAATATTGGATTATCGATTTATCTTTTACTTAAAACTCCCGTGATATTATTTACTAAGCATCTTCTCCTATCCCCCAGTGAGTTCAAATTTCTCCAACGACCCAATTCCGTACGTCAACATAAATGCCAGAAGGACCTCTAGATTTCTAAGTAGCATCCAAGCATGACCTCAAGAAAAGTAAAAAGACAAAACTCTTACATCTTAGGGTGCATTTCGACATCCTGTGTAAACTGAAAGGTTCAATTTCAAGTATAAAAGCAGTTTATTACAAATCACAAGCAATGGAACTATAATCATTAAGTTTGAAGTATAGGTTTTATACTTTTATCTATATAGCCGTCACTCTCCTTGTGCGTATCTTCAGCATACAAAAAGAAAATCAATTTGCATAACAAGGGTTCGAACTGAATAGGCAAATTATCGGATTGAAAACTAGTACAGCGCCAAATTAGCACAAATAATCGAGAATAAAAAACACTAGATCAAGCAAAAACAGAATATTAAATTGGGGTTCTCATTCAATTTGATTCAGTTTACTTGAGTTAATACAGCCATTGAACATTAAATTAAACTGAATCATTCAGCATAAAAGCAAGGAATTCACACAACACCCAAATATTCAGAAAATATAAGAATATTAATAATAGAAATGAATTCAAATAGAGCTCTAAATAGTTAAAACATTATTGGGCAAACCTAGTGATGACATAATTTTAGAAACAGTAATTTCAAATCGATCGAGAGGAATAGAAGAACGGAGCTGAGCAAATGATCTCTTACGCTTTCAGCAGAACATGTCCAGAAATGGCGGAGAGATTGGAAGTGTGTGGCGTTTGTGTGTGCGCGCGTGTGAGAGAGAGAGAGGGAGGGAGAGAGAGAAAGAACGCTCGGTAGAGCATATACCATCATTTTTTGTGGGCTTCTGTTTTGGGTTCTTGTCAAAAAGGGCTTTGGCCCATGGTCTAGAGACTAGAATGCAGCCCATGTGTAAAAAGAAATGCACCCAAGCTAATCTCACAAACCCAAACCCAAATCTTATCCTTCGACTTCGAGCCTTCAAGGAGCGACGACCGACAGGAGCCCTAGAATACAGATCGTTTTTTCAATTTTTTTTTTTTTTTTCTTGATTCGAAAAACATAAAACTGGGTAAAGAAAATCAGTGGCTAAAAGAGCCAAACTGAACAAAATTGGGCCCATAAACCCAAACGTTTTATTTCTATTATGGGCCTAACATTTTTTATTTCTGTATCACTTTTTTTCTATAGGATCAATTTTTTTTTGGGACAAATTTTGAGGCCTAGTATAAGTATATAGGTTGGGCCAAAATTTAAGGCCCACCAAATTTGGAGGCCCTAGGCAAGTGTCTGGGCCGCCTAGGCCCAGGGCCGGCCCTGTATTGATGCAATGGTTTGTGTTATGTCCGTTCGGCTTATTTTATCACTCGTTTGATTGTTTGAAGGTATTTGAATAGTTCTAAAACAATCAATACTTACATATCTCCATTTTTTTTTTATAATTATTTTTGAATGAAAATCCAAAACCAAAACAAATCCTTAATTTTTGTCTTTCTTGGAATTTCATATTTAAATGGTAAAGTACCACCATTTCTTGATTGCTTCTCTCTTTGGAATTTCTATTAAATTTAGTACAATTGACACGGGACAAACCAAAACAAACTTATATTTCTAGAATATAACATATTGGAGTATATATTTGTACTTGATAATTAGTTTTTTAAATGCAACAATTTCACTCATTTTTTTTAATTTAAAATTAAACATAATAGTATTATAATTACGATTAAAAAGACACAGTAGTCACCATCTAGTGAAATAATCTTCGCCAAACACTGAGAGAAAATCACCATCACAAGTCATGCTCTACTGATTTGAAACCAAAACGAAGATGATGAAATCACATCCTTACAGTCACAATTGATGAGATCAAACTCATATCAAAGGAGGAAATTATAAATCACATCACTGCGGCAATGAATTAAGTTCTATGATCAATATACGAAATCGTCATCAACTTGTGGATCAATGACGGTAGCACTAGCTTCTAGATTATCCATGGCCGCGGTAGCACCAGATTCTAGATTATCCATGGCCGCAGTAGCACCTGCTTCTAGATTATCCAAGGCCGCGGTAGCACCAGCTTCTAGATTATCCATGGCAGCTTCTAGATAGACAGAGAAATCTTCCAGAATGTAAGAATATTGGCGGTAGTAAATTATAACACCTAAAATTATTAGATTGATAACTGCACCATTGGCTTTCTGACAAACCACAGAAATCTGCATCAAACCTTCCAATAAAGCGTCCCATAGGCTGTAGTTACAGTAACCATAAATTCCATAGTAAATGTAATCCAAATGATGCTGTAGTGAACATCCTCAAGTAGGTGTCGCAAAAGAAAAACTACGCACAGACCCATCACCCACATTGCCGTTTTTGCGAAGAATCCCATGAAGTGCTGCTTCCCTACGTTGTACGGACTAATGACAAATGTGTAGCATAGTAGCCCCAAATGTCCCCATATACAGCGTTGAAGCTGTAAGATAGCCAAAGAGTTCGAAGCCAATTCCCTTCTCTAGAAAATTACCAAAAAAGGTTACCCACTGTGCCCAAGCTGGCTGCCAAAAACCAAGAAGACACGAGGCCCAAAGCTACCCAACAATTTTCTTTATGATCTGCGTTCAAAGGTAAGGTTAATAATGTCCCAGAAGTATTAAAATTGTGGCAAATGGAAATTTGAATTACACAATTATTCTTATATGGTGTGAACTAAAAAACACAGAATAATAAAAATATATCAAATGTAAAGGATCAGCAAATGAGGATTTATTTTTACTATATTTATGTCACAGAATTTATGGTGAGGGTCTATATGTAAGCAATTGTGTTAATTCAAGTGGTTACTCATCGTCATCAATGTTAGGGGGCAGCCAGGGCATAATGCACTTGTTAAAAAAAAAAAAAAAATCAATAAATATAATAAATATAATTTTTTTAAATCAAAAAGACAAACAAGAAAAAAAAATAATTGTAAAATAATATGCTAAATAAATACTGTAAAAAAAAAAAAAAAAGAAGTTACAAATACAATAATCAAAATATTGATTAATAATATTTTAATTAGATACAATAAAAAAATGTCATCTATAAAATAAATAAGTAAAAAAAATAAAAAAATACATAATTATACATAAGTTAAAAAAGAATTTTTTTGAAAAAGAGAACAAAAATTAGAAAAGGAAAAAAGAAAAATATATGGTATACTTGAAGAAGGGGATATATGTAATTTTTTTTTTTAAAAAGAAAAGTAGAAGAATTTAAAAATTTTAAACGACATTATTTAAAATTACCATATATATATATGTGTAGCAAAAATATATACCTATATATAATAAGAAGTCGGAGTAAGGGATTTACCCAAAAAAAAAAAAAAAGTCGGACTAAAGGGTAGAGGGGGCACGTGTCCCTGGTCAATGTAGTTCAGGTCCTTTGGATAATAACAGTCTTTTGCAATTCATTCTGATAACGATAACAAGAGCATTAAGTCATAGGTGCTATATATATTGGCGTAATGAAAAAAATTCAATCACAAGCTTGAGGCCACAAATCATTCACTCCCAACAACTCACTTAAGCTTAAGGAACGCCTAAGCCCCCCAATTGGAAAAAAAGACCCATAAAAAGTTAACACGTGTCTTAAAAAATAATTGAAATAATTAAACTAAGCCCATGAATAAACTTCTTTTTGGAGTTCCATGGTCTTATTCAAAACTTCAAACTCCTTTTTGCGATGGATTCCACATGCACGAGAAATTAACATTTCTACAACAAATAGAACCAATTTGATGATTTAATTTCTTTAGTAATTTTCAAGGAAATTAGATTATCTTGATAACATAAAAAGCAACATCAATATCATATATAATATGTCTCACAGTCAGATCTATGGCAAAATGCGATGGTCAATAAAGATAATATATATTTTTTTATGAATAATTGTATTTAGTTGATTTTTTTTTTTTATGCATTTAATATTGTAGACTAATAATTTGTTTTAACTTGTGTATATAGTTAAAGTTTAAATTTAACCATTCAAAATGATGAGATCCAAATTATATTAGAGGGGGATAGATAGAAGTATAGATCAAGTGAGCAAGAAATATAAAGTACTTACCATTATAGCGTTGTCTGCAATTGCAGAACTTGACTGACAACCAAGATAAAAGTCCCATACACCACTGATCCATTAAATTTTCATGCTACATCTGTGAAAACAATAAAAACCAAAAATTATACCTTCATAAGTTATAAAAACCCAACCCAACCCAACAATTACATAGGACAAGATTTTATTGTGGTGGCTAAATCAAATAACAAAACAATATCTTTGTCAAAGTCTAAATCACTTAGTATCACCACTTCCCAGAAAAAGAGAAAAAAAGAAGAAGCATCTACGGCTATGAACCTAGTCTCTGTAATGTATGGTTAAGCGAATTTATTTTTAAATTCTATAAAAATTATAACTATTTAAACTTGTGTCTTATAATTTAATTTTTTCTAACTAAAAATATTTAGTAATTTAATTGGACTGAAACTTGTATTTTTTTTTTTTAATATTTATTATTTAATTAAATATTATTAATAATTTAAATAATACAATATATTGTTTTAATAAATAGGTCATTAACGGATTCAGGCCAAGAAAACTCAAAAATAGAACGCACAGAAAGATTACGAATAAGAGGCGGAAGGTGTGGGTAGAGAAAGACAGGCAATATTACAGTAATATCATTGTACTATAAGGAAAAGCAAAAAAAGGAAAAATCTCATAAGAAATTCATAGTTGTACCTTTCAAAAAGGTACAAGTAACAAAGTGGATTGAGGAAAGTTTATTACAAACTGAATTAGTGTTGAGAGTTTCTAATATCATTATTAATGAGGCCATATTCAAATTGTGCTATTTAATATTATATCCTTAAATCAACATGACACTGTGACCCGGCGACGGCTCCAATTTATTCCCACCCCACCCGATTAACGCTCAAAAAAGGGTGAGAAGCGCTGGTGGACTGAGTGAGAAGAAGAAGAGAGAACTTACTGGTGGACTGAGCTTCGTCTTCTTCGACACCTTACAGAAAGGTGCAGGTACAAGCTGTAAACTTACACAATCGATACTTCAACAGCCCATGAAAGTTCAAAATCATAGAGTCCCTCTTCTTATTATAGCGAACCCTTTCATCTTTTTTGGTCCTCCCAGAAAGCCATAAATTTGAGAATTTTATTTCCTTTATACGTATATAGTGTTTCCGTCATCTTTCCTTTTTCTTGTATGATTCCATATTGGTTATCTTTCCTTTTTAATGTCTCAAATTACTATAATTCTCAAGTAAAAATAAAAAATAATGTAGTTTGCGACTTTGCGGTTTGGTTTGTATATATGGACATTCTAATACTAATTTTTCCATTTGCATTTTTTAATGAAAAATATTATTATTATTATTATTATTTTTGAGTAATTTTGTAGCACAAATTTCATGAGACTTCCATATATATAAATCACTTGACGGGTATTGTATGTTGGCATTTGTGTGTATCAGTGAAGATACCTCACTTTTATACCAAACAACAATAAACTAAAACAAAAAAAACCCCCTTAAATTCAGCCATCTATATCTTATTCTACCTTGCCAAGAATATCATGATTATAGAATGCAGAAGTGATAATATCATGTGATTAAAGAATTTGTGCATATTGAAAAATGTAAGGGTGCGCCATTTGTGACTATAGCTGGCTCTGGAATTTGGCAAGGCCATGCATATACTGGCTCGGTCCCTAAACACGCTTACATAATTTGAGTGAAGGGGTAAAAATAATTTGAAATTACTTTAAAATTTTCAAATGT